CAGCGGGTGAACTCCTCCGTGCTGCTGACGGGCAGGCTCGCCACCAAGGCGAGCAAANTGGCCCACGGAGCGCCGGGAGATCCGTCTCGCTGTCGCTGCCACTGCTGCAATCGCTGCCGCCGTCATCGCCGCTGCTGCCGCCGCTGCTGCTGTCGCTGCCGCTGCCGCAGCAACCGCGGCTGCTGCTGTCGCCGCCGCTACCGCTGCTGCGGCAGTTGTCCTCGCCGCCGCCCACATCGGCCGTGCCGGTCGACGTGGTAGATGGGGCGACGCTCGCGCCCTCCCTGCTCGAGGGGGCGCCATTGCCAGCGTCGCCCGCGCCCGACTCCTGGGGCGCGGCCGGCGGCGCCGGCGGCGCATCACACGCGGGCGGCTCCGCGGGCCCCGGGCTTGCCGTCGTGTCAAAGTGGAAACCTCCATTCTCAGGTTCTCCCTCCGCCCTCCCTCCACCGTGGCATGACGCACCCTCCCCGCCCNGTGGCCGTGCGCGTAGTGGAAATCGTTGATGTCAACGGGGGTGCTGGACACTTTTGCGTTGCCAAGAGCAATTGTGGCACAGGCATGTTCAGTGTGTGTGCGGAAACGTTTTGGACGTACAGGTTACCGCATCGGGGGAAGTACACCAACTCCCCCCCCCTCTCTCCAACTCCAACTCGTGTTTATTGAGGGTTTTGGTTTCGAACCCGTCGTCGAAGAGGGAAGTGAGAGATACTACGTTGTAGTCTAGTCGGGGAATGTGTGTAACCCGTTTCAACAACAGGTCGGTTGTACCGTAGTGATAAAATGGAACACCTGAAGCTCTCGTTGGACTTCTGCTCTCGTGTGCCCTCTACGGAGTTGTTCGGAAGTCGGCAAGTTTGGGTCGCCCACGGGGATACTGCTCTCTGCATCTCCTATAAACTGCCCGTCCAAGTCGATGGTCTTCGCAGCTTGGATGAACGATTTTCGCCACCAATCGAATCCATCCGTGGCTACGGCTTTTTCCGTCCAGAAGCGGGGCATCGGCCGTCACTCTTTACTGGTGGCTACCGCTGTAGCCGTCATGGTATTCTCCATTTCCTCGAATCACGGGTATCTCACCTGGGGGGTTTAACCCCCTCGATTCCCCGTAGTCTGGTCCTATGCCCGTGCCCACTCCGGCTGGTCTCGCAGGATTCGCTCTCGATCTGCTGGCCCAGCCGCCTTCCAGCAGCTGCCGTGGTCCTTGCCCACCATCTCTCGCTTGCTGCTGGAGAAATCCCCCGCCACCGCCGAGCGGCAGCGTGGGCTCTTGTTGGTCTCCCGTGGCGACAACCCAGTCGCCACTACTGGCTGCATCCGCCACGACGCTGCCAGGCTCCTTCTTCTTCACCGACTCCTTCACCAGGGCCGCCAATTGCGAAATCTGCCGTTGCAAACTTGCAAGCTCTGCATCGCGGCCCTCCTCCACCAGCGAGCGGATCTGTTCTCCGCTCGTAGCAGTGGGCACCTCAGCTCCGGTAGAGCTCATCCCGATGTGGCTTCCCTCGAGGAGCAAACTCTAGAGTGTTTGCGGCCTACGCCACTTACTTATCGGGTGAGACTGTTTTGGTGATGTATTAACTTCACGAGAGGTCGACGACCGTCCTTCACCCGGACGAAAGAGGGAGTGCCCCACATGGGCAGCTCCTACACCAAGGAGGGGCCCCGTGACTCATCGCGATGCCCCCCAAAAATTCATAGCCTGGTTTGGTGTGTTGTTGTTTGTGTAATGGTTTTGGAGTAGCGACGACAAAGCTGCGGCATAAAAAATAACCAAGACAAAATGAAAGCACCAACAACGGACAAACATCCGGCCGTAGGCCTTCATACAAAAGCAGTCGCCCTTCATCCACGACCTTCAAGACATGAATGCAACACGCTAACATGTGGAGGTGTTGCGAAGGATGACACCACCTCTATTTAGTCTCTAAATGCCTCCACCACAGAGGCCTCCATTTCCTCATTTCCAGGCCACAATGCCCGGCAGGCATGCGTGAAGCGCTCTGCGCTCTTCAGCTGCACTCCCTTCCCACGCGAATTCATGGCCATGGCCCCGTCGTAGCACGCCTGTGGCATTGCATGCATTGTCCGGAATACACACAAGATGCACGGCAGTAGTATTAGGCCTCTAGTCTACAGTTTAGTGCTGTATGCATGCACACATATGTTCAAATGGGCGGAGAGAGCCAAGGTTGAAACGAACTTCGACAAAGCGAGGAGTTTGCCCTCCAGCGATCACTGCTGTGTGCAGTTTGGGCAGAGCGGGTCCAACAAGCAGCAGGATGGGAAGGTGTAGTTATGCATATGCATACGACAGCAGTAGCGTCGGGCGAATGGAAAGTGTAACTGTGCATAGACTATGCTACGACAGCAGCAGGCAGCGTCGGGCGTATGTTGAAGTTTGCACACCCTGGACAATAGGAGAATAAGGCGCAATATACAACAAAATACGGTGCAATAGACGCCCGTATTGCCACCGATAATGTCTATTGAAAGACTTTGACGCAATCTACTTCCATAGGTAGCGTCTATCGACGGCACCCTTCAGAAAACTATTGCCCGGACAGCATGTTGCGATAGCTTTGATTGATATCTATTGATGGTGACAATATCTATCGAGGATCTTGTCCCTTATCTACCGGGGGTTACGATGTACATCGATAGATTGTACCTAACCCTATTGATGGTGTCGGTAGACATTGAATGCATGTCTCTCAAATTTATTGCCGTGGCAATGTCCACCGGTGTATTGGTCCCCAAGGAAGTTGATGACCACAATACCCATCGATAGAAGATTTTCCGAATCTATTGTGGGTACGCCGGTCCGTGAACAACAATTTGTCCAATAATTTCCCATGCACAAAGTGCAACTTTTCTCTGCACACAGGTGGTTCGAAAATCTGAAAGTACCGGCAAACGCCCTGTTTGCAGGCGCACGGCGTGACGGAGAGTTTTTTGTTGTTGTTTTTTCCTTGACATTTTACTTCCGAAAAACCGGAAAAGCTTGTTTCGTTTACAGGGGGTAGAGTTTTTTGCCGATTCACAAAAACTCAACGGATTTGGACAGATCTCGGAATTCCGCAGATGGGTATTCTTTTATATTTTTCTTAATATGACACAACGAGTCCATCTCTATCATAGAAAAGAGTCAGACAGATTAACAAGGAGCTCGAGGTATCGTCCAAGATCATCGTAGAGAGGGCATGGAGAACAAGAAAGAAAGAAAGAAGAAAAGCACAAAGAGAGGCCGGAGGCAATACTAAGAGCATACAGCTTACGGCAGGGAAAAGGGAACACAGGGTGCGACAACATCATCAGTTGGGTACGTCGTTC